TCTGATCGTAACACTGGGGAGTTTCTGACGCTCTGCTTCCATCCCCGTAGATAGCTGATGAGTCTGAGGTGACGTGCAGACGAAACTAGCTAGTCCTAGCATAGTCGGGTTCACTCCCCAGGGAGTGTAAGTGTGATGAAAGTTAAGTGTAACAAGAAAGGAAAGCTAACTTCGGACGGAGCCGAAGTTGATATACCCTTGCAGAATATTCTGTAAATTATATTTTTCAAAATTATTCATTTGATGCATTCTTAATACTCATAAAAAGTCCCAATTTCCTAATTTTAAAAACACCAAAGTTATGGCATTTTCAATCGTTCAGTTATATGACAGCTATAAGATATAGTGGGCCGATCATTATGAAATTTTGTATGTCGGATTGATTGGCCAAAAGTAAAACCCATAGAAAATCCCAACTTCTTAACTTTACAAACACCAAAGTTATGGCACTTCCGATCAATCAGTTATATGGCGGCTATAGGATATAGTCGTCTGATCCTTATGAAATTCGGTAGGTCGGATTAATTGTCCAAAAATAAAGCTCATATAAAATCCCACATATATTAACTAACAAACAATTTTATTAACTCGTTACTGGATCATCAGAAAAAACCAAAAAAAAAATTGTTTATTAGTTAATATGTTTCTAGAAGTTACCTCTAGAAACATATTAAGTGATAAACAATTTTTTTTTGGTTTTATCTGATGATCCAGTAACGAGTTCTGCTGTTGAGTTTTTTTTATTCAATTTTTGGATTTTTGGTAACACTTTAAAGTCAAAAACGTGATTTTAGCCTAAAAATTCGATATATTTGTTATTATAAAATGAAAAATAATCAGTAAAAAAAATAAAACTTGACGTCAGTACCTGAGGATTTAGGTACAGAAATAGTGTGCAAAGTTTCAAAACGATTCGCTTAGAGATTTTGCAGGATCGTGCTCACCATCTCTCAGCTCCTTTTATGGAAAGCGAGACAGAGTAAGAGAGGGAGATGGAAATATTTCTGCGTTTCCTACGACCGGCGACTGAGAGTTTCGGCTCTGCCTGCGTCGCACTCGGCTCTGCCGACTTTGCCTTTGGCTCTGCCGGCGTCGCAGTCCGGTGCTGATGAAAGGGCGATGAATTTTTATAATGATGAATTTCGGAACTGCAGGGTTGTGAATACAGGTGCACACAAACAGTCGTCGGCTTTCGCAGTATGCGTGCAAGAGATCGGCTGGCTCTAGAGCGCTCTCTCGCTGGCTTTTGTGCAAGAGAGCGAAAAGCCAGTTGAAAAGCCAGCACCAAAAATTCGTGTGCCAAAAAAACTTTATGCATCTTAGAGATTATATTGGTCTTTGCATTTACCAAGTAAGTTTTTCTATATCACACCCTGAACTTGGATTCTGAAAATTGTATCAACGCAGTAAAGACAGGTATATAACTTTTTGGAGTTCCTAAAATTCTGTTATATTTAATTGCAACAGGGGCAAGCTGGGCAAACGGCCAAGTGGAGCGCCTGATGAGCACGTTGAAAGGAATGTTGACAGCAGTTGAGACAAGCGAAAGCTCTTGGCAGGATGCATTGATGGACGTCCAATTCGCTATGAATTGTACTGGTAACAGGTTCAGCACCTTAGAATTACTAATAGGAAAGCAGACAAGACCTTTGGGCATGTTACCTATAATTAATGTTGTAGAGGGGCGTTTGATCGGTAGATGAAAGTGCACAAGTCGGGGGCGTCGTGGTAATTCAGTGTGTGGTCTTTTTCGGCTGCATACATAAGAATCAACTTAAACATAAAAACGCGGTCCCGCCCGCTTTACTCCTCTGAAGCGAGAGCGGGAGATCAGCGGCGGCCGACCGAGGAGTTCGGATCCGGGTTTCGCGCTCCGGAGCGCGGACGTTGCGAGAAGCGAGCGAGGGAGCGCAAAAGCGCAGTGGGCCACTGAACTAAATTGGATCCCAAGTTCAAGAGTCCGTTTGTTGTAATAGAACTGCTGGAAGGCGATCATTACCTGTTGAAATCATTGACTAGTAAAAGAACATATAAGTATCCGCATAAGAGCTTGCGAACATTACCAGCTAAGCTAGTTGCATCTGAGTTGGTCGAAGAGAGTGATGGCGTTGAAATAGACGCAGGAGATGAGTTAAGATCTGTCACCTAAGAGAGGAGGCTAAGTTTGATCGCAAGTGGCTTAAAGAGCCTGTAGTGTGTTGTGATAAATTGTAAGCCAAATGCTCGGAAAGAGATATCCTGCCAGACTGTCATTTGAGGACAAAAGAAGTGTAGGAGGGTTACAAAAAAAAATCATGATTTCGGGTTTGTTTCAGATTAGCAAAATGTGATGCCAATCCAATGTTAACCTTGTCGAGAGAATTAATAATAATAAATAGTCTAAAATAAAATCAATGTAACTGAGAAAAACCTGTCACTAGAAGTAAAGAGTTGAGAGAAAGAAGTGTACCTTCTGAGACGGTTTAAGGGGGTCTTCTAGTCTAGAAATTTGAGAAAATCGAAAAAATTTTTTTTTCATAATTCGATAGTTTGGATGATCAAAAATATCTCCCTAAAAGGATTTTTCAAAACTCAAATTATTTTGAAAGCTATAGCCGTTTTAGTGACGTGGCAACTAGACCAGTTGAGGGAACGACTGGAACTTTAAACGCGTTTTTCTCGAAACTACTTTTTTTGATGCGGTCGCCACTCTAACTCAAGTTCTAATCAGTCGATTTACTTGAAATTTGGCATGAATATTCTTTAAATATATCGCTATCGCATGAACCAACAAAAAATAAAAATTTTAAATTTATAATATTTTTAAAAATTTGACAAGGTGGAAAAATTAGTGAAAAATCGACTTTTTTCTTTGACTAGCCGCCATTTCATGAAAAAAAAAGATATTTTCTTTTTGGTGGTTCATGCCATAGCGACATTCGTACTCATTAAGAATCTATCATTGTTTTATTTTTCAGATAACTACAAGCATAGATATCATGGCGACGCGGACACGGCCTCTTTTTTTTCCCCTCTTCTTTAAGAAGGAATAACTCAATGAAAACTAATTTTTTTTTTTGCAAATTTATTTTCTGTACTCCTTTAAGTTTAATAAACAAATGATAAAAAAACGGATACTAAAAATATCTATTGTTTTTTTTTTATTAATTGTTAAAAAAAGGTCGATATTCGAGCCTCTAGACTAGAAGACCCCCTTAAGGGTTTCAAGAGCGTGGCTACGTGCCGAGTGTGGCGCAATTGTTGTTGCAATAAATTAAAATGACAAGTGACTACAAAATAACGACAAGAACACGATAGTGTTCAGCACTCATTCTTTCAGGAACCTTCGAACGGGCAACACAAGCAATTGCGACTCGCTGCACATCTTAGTAAGAGAACCCAAATCATGACAGATAAAACAAATCGCGAAGCGGCTAAGAGACCCCTATCTCCGACATATATGTACATGTAAAATGTACATCAATCCCAGCCCCGTACCCGAAGAAATTCGGCTGATTTACTCAGAGAAAGGTCTGAACAGTATTGTTTTAGCAATTTGACATGGCTGCCTAAAAATGAAAGGACCTTATGGCACTTACTTACCCATTGCATGTTGTCAGACAGTATTAATAGGAAAATTACGTATGTTGTTGACACGCTCTAGTTATAGACAACGTAAGCTTCGTAACATATGAATTTATATATTAGTTGTGAGCATAATATAAAATTTCAACAAAATTTAACTCTCATTAAACAAAAATCTTAATTCTTCGATTACTGAGGTTTTTTTGACTGAGGTTTTTTAAAGTGTACTTTGTATGACGTCCTTCCCTTTAACTCACACATTATTCAGCAATTTTTGCGTGTTGATTTTCATACCCTTGCAGAGGGTTTGCAACGCAGAGAAGGAGACATTTCCGACCCTATAAACTATAAATATTCTTGATCAGCATCACCAGGACAGTCGATCTAGCCATGTCCGTCTGTCCGTCTTTCCGTTTCTACGCAAACTAGTCCCTCAGTTTAAAAGTTATCTGCTTAAAACTTTCCCAAAAGTTGTCTTCCTATTGCAGGTATTATATAAGTCGGAACGAGCCTGATCGGACAACTATATCATATAGCTCCCATAGGAACAATATTATGAAATTCTGGTTTTAATATAGCATACTATATAGCATACTATATATACTATATTATCCGTATGAACGCTGAGATCTCGGAAACTATAAAAGCTAGAAGATTGGCATTTTGCATTCAGATTCTAGGAGTTCCTACGCAGCGCAAGTTTGTTTCAAAAAGGTGCCACGCCCCCTTTAACGCCCACAATCGCTGATATACGATTTTAAAAATTTAAATATTTCGGAAAAGTAAAAATGCAGTTTTATTGTGTTTATCAATACCTATCGAAATGTATTAAAATTTTCAAATCGGACCATTCGTTAAAAAGTTATGCGTGATCAAAGTTTATATCTCCATCTCCCTCGCACTCCCTTTACCTGAGTAACGGGTATCTGATAGTCGGGGCACCCGACTATAGCGTTCTCTCTTGTTTTATCATTAACCCAATAGTGAATACGTCCATATTGTTAGGGTACCAAGTCTGAAAAGTAGCAAAAGACAAAATATTCTTGCTGCATCTAAATGAAATGATCGCACACATGCACCCCTGTATGGGAATGCATGAACACGCATACATACAAAGCCCAATTCAAGCGCAGGGCAACCTGCTTCAAAATGCGCGTCTCTGCGACTGAACGACCGAACTCGAATGAGAGCGAAAAAAACCCGAAAGCACACGAAGTGTCCGGGGCCTGTTGCTACCAGCTGTGGGGCCTCCCGCTTTAAAACTTTTGTGACCATTTTCGTTGTATGAAATGACCAGTCTATATGTTGTATGGTTAGTGGTTGTACTTACTAGCTAGATGTAGGCAACGTAACTATCTACTTAAGAACGATAGTTTGTTTTCGAATAGTAAATAACTAAAAAATATTACGTACATTTTTTTTTTGAAAAATCTCCAATGCACTTGGTAATAATTCTGGCCTTCCTTATGTGTCTACCTAAAGATTTCAAAGAGTATATGTACAGGAAACGCACTAATGCAGGGGACATATCCATCTTTAGTCCACCAAGGTACACCATTAACAAACATTTTTGTTTATTAATTTTATTCTTTATCAAATCCACTTTAATGACCACTCACAAGTGGTTATCGGGGCGTGCCACGAAAACTCTGGTGGTGAACTGGATCTAAAGTTTACCTACTGGGAATCAGATTCATGTTTACTCTTACTCGGCTAGCATGGAACTGGAATAATGCTCGTATAAAAACTTACTATCGTAATTGTGGTTAGCCATATAGTTTACTGGGCAACTTGTTCTTGTTTGTTAAATTGAAATTCTTAAACAAAAAATTCATACAGTATTTTTATTTCAGTGTCAGAAGTGTTATGTACAAATATTTGGAAAAGGAAAACGAACTTAATTTTCATAAAATTTTTAATGAAGTTTTGGGTATGTATTTTTTTTCAACTGTAAGTATTTTATTACAAAATTCTTTTTAGGTTATATGCTGTTTAAAGACTTTTGTGAAAACGATTCGGACGAACCTATACAGCAACTAAAGTTTTATGAACAGGTACATTAATTCTTATTTATTTTAAAAAGGATCGTCATTTAATTTTCTCTTTTATTTAAGATAAAAACATATGAAAAAACAGAATGCTACGATGAGAGAAAAAAATTGGCAAGAGAAGTTTATGATAATTTTATAATGGAGGAAATGCTGTCACACACCTATGCAAGTACTCTTGAATTGCATTTAAAACCATTATAATTTTTCCACTTATATTTATAGGACTACTCTAAAGATGCTGTTGCGAGTGTTCAGAAATATTTATTAAAAAATGAAGTCCCAGTAGACTTATTTGAAGTAAGCGTTTTTATTATTAATCATATTAAATATGAACATAAAATCTGATATATTAGGTTGTCAAATAACTCCCTTCCGCTTTTTGCTCTTTATTCAATGCTTTATAAGAATTGATACAGTGAACGGATTTAGCTAAAATATGTGCCGCTTTTTTCGATAATGTGTTCCCATTAGACGGCAACACTTCATAATACCACCTCGTAGAAACTTCCCTCCTTCGTTGCGAAAAACTCTGACGGCTACTTTTCATAACCCTCTTTTGAGCCCAACTTTACACCAGTAAGGGCATTCGCCATGGATAGGACCAGGTGGTATATGGTGGATGCGATAAAATCTCCCATCCGAGCTCCCGAAGCTTCTGATTAGTCATCAAAGAAGTGTGTGGTCTGGCGTTGTCCAGATAAAACACTGTTGGCCAATTCTGGTCGCTTCTGGTCGATCGCTAGCTTCAAGCGGTCCAGTTGTTCGCAGTAGATGGTAGAATTAAGCGTCTGGCCATATGGGTATGATTCCCTTCCAATCCCACCAAACACAGAGCAAAACTTTCCTGGCCGTCAATCCCGGTTTGGCCACTGTTTTGGACGATTCACCAGCCTTCAACCACGACCGTTTTCGCTTGATATTGTCGAAAAAATGGGTCGAGTTCAAAAATGGGTCGAGTTCATTCCGTTTCTACAGCTCACTATTAAACCTCTTTTTCTGTAAAATTGTCAAAAACTATAACTTCGAAATAAAATATTTTGTTGTCATTAAGGCAAAAAAGCCATCTCGATGAGCGACAAGGACCAGCGATTCGTTTATGTGCTTTGAAAATCATAAATTCTTGTTTTTTTTTGTTGTCTAGGCAATATTTTAAAAGTGTAAAATGAAAAACAGTCGCCTATTAATATATGTGAGATTTATGAAAACTGCTTTTTATTTTTTCTTTTGTTATTGTAAAGAGCTAGTTCGGCCAAATATCATAAAAGCAACGTAATTGTTTGTTTTTTTTAGTACAAAAATAAACACTTAGATTCGTCATGTAAGAAAAAAACAGGAAAACTGGATATAATGTTCTTTTAAAAAATAATAATAATATTCAATACCGTTTGCGAGCTCAGTTTAAAAGCTAACGATCTGAACTGTCACAGTCGTCCTAAAAAATGTGTACGCAGATCAAGTTTGAAAACAGCCCCAATCGAATGTCTATATCCTATAGCTCCCATAGGAACAATCGGATATATCTTGCAAGAATGGAAGATGTTTCGGCAAAGTCTGCAAGGATATTTAAACTTCGGCTTGCCGAAGTTAGCTTCCGTCCTCGTTTTTTATTAAAGAATTGATAATACATCATTCAGATCCATCATAAAATAAAAAATAAACGGGATATTAGTCGTATTCATCATTTCTACATTTTATTTGTTATAATATTCCTAAAAGTATGATATTACGATCATTATTTTTGATAAAAAAAAACACTCATTATTATTGATTATAGACAATTTTAATGTTTAAAAACATTGAAGTTGAATATTATACACGGGTACTCGAAGTGTAAAAGCCTTTATTATATTTGCTGAACAGTATGTAACAGGTAGAATAAAGATTTTCCGAATCTATAAAAAATATATATATTCTTGGTGATCCTTACCAGGTGATCGCCTTACCTGCCATATTCTTTCATATAATCTTTCCGTGGCTATGTCGGGAACTATATTTAGCTAGATATTTTGGAGTTAACTTGCAGCGCGTTTTTTTAAAGTTTGGCCAATCAAACCCTAACGTCCTCCTCATATCGTATAATTCTAAAGACACATATTAGAGAAGTGTTGGAAATGTTATATTGTAGTATAAACATACATCGAACACACACTGTAATAATGGTAGTTAAAAATACATACTGTTTAACTTTGTTACGTAAGCCTAGTTCCCAAGTACATTCCAAGTGCCAAAGTAATATGACACTTAGGAAGGCAATTAAGACGATAATTGAGGCGTCAGCATATGGTCCGACCGCGATCTACATATGTGTGCATAAGACCCATTCTGAGATTGCTACGCTCACTTCGCCGCATGCATTTATATATATTTATATGCGTAGACATAAAAAACACCAACCCCAGCTTTGGCCATAATTTTAAAAACTTTGATTCCGCATTCATTTATCAGCAAACAAACAATATGACAAGTGAATGACTCCAATAAGTGCACATGGCGTAGCTGTCATTTGGCAACTGTGAAGAACGTCGTCCACTCCCTGTCAATAATCCCGCATGGGAAAAGACTGAAGAAACGGCTGTCCTCTCGCGAATAACAAGCGGAAAGTAACTTTGCGGAAGCCATTATGACTGCGAAGGGCCGGACTAAAAAGGCAATTGATCATATTTATAAATAAAAAAGGACCAATAGTATTTAAGTAAATAATTATCACACTCATAACTGAAGGAAATCTTTAAACGCTGATCCTCCTCCGTACGGATTCCACAAAACACAATGAAAGTCACTGATTCGAAGTGGCGGGAGTGCGACGCATCACGGCAAATATGCTCTCGCGAGGTTCTTTAAAATACTGCCTTATGATCACCTTTTACGTAAGGAAAGCTTACATTTTGCCGGACTGGGCAAGAATTATGCCCTGTTGTCCCCTGATACTCTACAGTCGACGCCCATTTGTTTTGTTCGCAGACGATGTAGGAGGCAAACACCATAGAAGAAGATGAGAAAGTTGCAGTGGTCAGAGAGCAGCCCACAAAACTAAAGCAGTCACTAGCAGAATGAAGTTTGAAACGGCAAAAACTTCTGAAGTTCGGTCGGCCATATATCTAGGGGGAATAATCTGAAGTACATAAATAAAAAGGCTAAGCATACCATATGTGATCTGTGATGGAAGGCGAGTAATAAAAACGAATGCAAGAAGAAAACTGTCAATAACGCTGGCTCCATTCTGCGCAGGAATTCTTCACGCACCGTGTCATAAATGCCGTCCCAAACATGAAGCAATGAGAGAGCTTTTTGGCAGGCACCGGTGTTTTTGGAGCTACCTACAACCCACACTGAGTGCATCACCTTTATTTAGCTACGGTTCGAACGCCAAAGGCATGTGCTCGCAGACGACGCTGGTGGTCTTAAATAAATTAAGGTCCTTGAAAATATACCGTAAGGAAACAAATCGAAGAGGTTCCGGATGGAAAAGGCCCGCGGGAGTGTTAAAAATAAACATGCATACACACTACTGCACCTTTTTTGATGCCGCTGTGAGGAAAAAATGAACAGAAAATATGCCTGCCTTTAGAACACTTTTCGCTCTTTAAGCTTTTTGTTTTTATTTTTTGTCTGGCTTATTTTTCACACGAACTGTTTATGCTTCTGGGCGAGATTAATTTCCCCTTCGTGTCACAATTTTGGGGAAGGCAAAGCTTTTGCTTATGATGTTTTGCCTTGTTCACAGAAACAGACAAATGCTTTAAATGGGCCTGTGCAGAAATAAAGTTAAGTTTTGAATTTTGCATCACCATAAGTGAAATTGCTGATTTTAGTTTGATGTTCACTTTTATTATGAAAAACACAATATAGCTACCCCATATAACCAGACACATAAAATTGATAAATGATGAAGTACGAATACCAAATTAAACATCGAGAAATGAAGTATTAAAAACAAGTACCAAGTAAATACTCAAAAATCTTTGTTTATAGAAATAAATTAAAAATTCCTAACTTAGAAATTGGTTATATGTAAGTGGAAAAGTTCGACCACATTTCAAATTTGAGCATTTCCAGAATGTTTCGTACGTTTCATACGCACCCTTCTTATCTGTCAGGTGTCTTCAATGACTTAAGGGGGTATATACCTTTTTCATTTTCAAAAATCGAAAATTATTTTTTGCTTTATCTTAAAGAACAACTTTTTGAGAATATTTCCCAAAATTTTCATAGAGATTTGAGCAGTAGAAAAAAAGTTACAGCGCTCCTAGCCGCGCACCTCGTCCCCGCCCAAACCCAAACTTGAAACTTTAAACGCGAATATCTCGAAATGTTTTTTATACCCGTTACTCGTAGAGTAAAAGGGTATATTGTATTCGTGCAAAAGTATGTAACAGCTAGAAGGAAGCGTTTCCGACCCTATAAAGTATATAAATTCTTGATCAGGACCACTAGCCGAGTCGATCTAGCCATGTCCGTCTGTCCATCTGTCTGTCCGTCTGTCTGTCTGTCTGCCCGTATGAACGCTGAGATCTCGGAAACTATAAAAGCTAGAAGATTGGCATTTTGCATGTAGATTTTAGAAGTGCCTACGCAGCGCAAGTTTGTTTCAAAATGGTGCCACGCCCCCTTCAACGCCCACAATCGCTTATATACGATTTTAAAAATTTAAATATTTCGGAAAAGTAAAAATCAAGTTTTATTGTGTTTATCAATACCTATCGAAATGTAGAAGAAATTTTTCAAATCGGACCATTCGTTAAAAAGTTATGCGTGATCAAAGTTTCTATCTCCATCTCCCTCGCACTCCCTTTACCTAAGTAACGGGTATCTGATAGTCGGGGCACCCGACTATAGCGTTCTCTCTTGTTTTTTTTAAATGACTTTAAATGTTCGTAATGAATTTGTAAAAAAAATGTGTTTAAGGGAAACAGTCACACCTTAAAAACTATTAAATATTTTTTCAAAAATGTTTCCATAAACATTGTCAACAATCTAAACTTTCAGAAAATATAATCATTCATTTAATAAAAACAATAGTTACATACATAAAAAAATACAAACTTTCTTATTTTTTTCGACAAAAAAATGTATATACCCCCTTAATAATTATCAAACTAGCTAATAAGGAAACACTAGAAAGACGGTAATATTTAATATTTTGGAAGAGTCAATGTTAAATCTCACGATTTCACGACCCTCTTAGACTGATAAAACCTTTGATAGCGAAGTCGGATGACTTTGGTTTTTCAACCTCACCCACTTTCAGAGAAATTGCGCCGATACTGTTTGAAAAGGTTTATATGGCGCGACACATT